TTATCCAGTCTCCAGTTGATGGGCATTTGGGCTGTTTCCAAGTTTTAGCTATTACAAACTGTGCTGCTATGAACATAGGTGCACATATATCACTGTGGTAGGATTCTTTTAATTCTTTGGGGAAGATCCCCAGCAAAAAGTCCATTCCTTTCTGACCCTGAGCCCCATTCTGTGACCCTCCTCATGAATCTCCTGGAGGATAATGCAAGACCAAGGCTGCCACAGATACACAGCAGCCCTGCCAGGCTGATCGCCCTTCCCTATAACAACCTTACTATCTGTCTGGCTGTGGAAGGCTTTGTACTCACCCTCTACAGGACTGCCACTGTATTTCATCTCTACAGATTTGCCTATTCCACACACTACACAAGTGGAATGACACAGTATGTGATATTTTGGGAGTGGCCTCTTTCCCATGGGGAATGTCAGGTTGAAGCGGGTATCAGTAACTTATTCTTTTCTATGAGTTAATAATATTACTTTATATGATTTTGTTACATTTGATTTGTTCACCTAATAATTGATAGACATTTGAAGTATTTCCATGTTTTTGCTATTATGATTAATGTTTCTACAGACATTCATGTACAAGTTTTTGTGCAGACATGTTTTCAGTTCCCTTGGGTGTGTATGTTGAAATGGAAGTTTTCAGTCACATAGTAACAGTCTCTAACTTTTAGAAATGCTGCCCAACTGTTCTCCACATTGGCTGCAAAAGGTTACATGTCTCCAAGCAAACGTAGCATGCTTTCAGCATTTCCAGATCCTCACCCTTTTGGTATTTTCCACTCTTTAGTTACACCATCCTCTTTGGTGGGGAGTTGTATCTCACTGTGATTTTGTGTGTATTTCCTGAGTGACTAGTGATTCTAAGCTGGTCATTTGTCCTTTTCTTTGTTTAGATTTCTTCATATCTTCTGGACACTAAACCTTTCTCAGATGTATAATATGAATACATTTTAACTCTCATCCAGTGAGTCATTTTTTCACTGATTGAAAGTGTCCTTTGAATTATAAAAATGTATGATTTAATTGAATCTGACTTAGATTCCATTTTAAGTGCTTCCAGTTTTGATATATCTTGCAAAATATTAATCTTAGATTTAGGTGTTTTCCTTTAAGAGTTTTAACTCATATTTATGTCACTGTGGCATTTTGAAGGTCATTATTTTATGAAGCATGAGGTACATGTCCAGCTGCACTCTTTCCGCGTGGACACCCAGCTGTAACAGCACCACCTATTAAAGATGTCACACTTTTCCTCTTATGTCATCAAAAGATGTTTGACTGTAGATTTACCCACTTATTTCTGGATATCTATTTCCATTTCATGGATCTGTACCTGTATCTCATGATAATAGATGCCTTGAGTATACCACACTGAGAGACAAAGTTTGAAGTTGGAAAATCTGAGTCTTCCAACTTTGATATTTCTGGCTATCTCTTAAATTTCTCCATAAATGTTAGAATAATTTTGTAAATTTCTCATAAAAGTAACGGCTAGAATTTTTAGAAAGATGGTATTGGATCAAAAGAATATTTTTAAGGGAATTTTTATCTAGTTTTTCTAATTCTTAAATACAGTGTATCTTTCTTACAAATTTCTTTGAACATTTTGTAGCTTCTTGTGTGCAAATCTTTTATTATTTCATTTTTAAGTATTTGATGATATTTTATCATTTATGATACTGTTATAATAAATTTGTTGTGCTAATTTTATTTTCTGATTATTCATTGCAAGGTGAATGATTTTTATGACATGTGGATAATGCTACATTTGCTGATATTTCTGTCCTATGTCTGGTTCTCCCTCATCCTTTCTATACCCTTTCTATATTTATAGAAATATTATTTATAGAGAAAATTCAGTAATCATATAATTAACTATTGACTCCTCATTATTTACTTCCCTATTTATACTCTTCTGTCTGTGCCTTCTAACTTACCAGACAGGCTTTCTTAGGAGGTCCCTTGAATAGATTAAGAAATGCCCAGCTGGTTAGCAAAGCAGGCCTGTGTGTGTGTGTGACAGACAAGCAGTGTGGGTGACTCTCAGCACATGGAGAGGGAAGACGCTGGAAGTGGGGGGCAGCACTTTAGGAAGTGCAGATGGTGGAATGGCGGTGCTATGGGCTGAGTGTAGGGAGAGAAGCTGAGACAGACGTAATGCGATGCTTACAGAGTTTTGGATCAGTGTGGTGGGATGATCTGGAGATGGAGAGGTGATAACTGCCACAGGAGGATGACTCAGAGCCTCCCCACTGTGCTATAGCAAAGGTAAAGTCCCAAACTTTACCTCACACATTTTACTGTCACAGAAATGCCACAAAACCCACACTTAGTAAAATTATTCCAAATATGTTTTAAGGCAGTTAAAGCCTTGGTATCCTGAGCCATGTTGGAGCAACTTATATTCCACCATTGTTTGATCTGTGCTAATTTCCTCAGCAACACTGAGAGGTGTGACAGAAGCTGAGCTCCCTCTGGGTGAGGCCCTGAGACAGCACAGGAAAAGCTCCCTCTGGGTGTCCTCTGCTGAGTCATGCAAGGGAGGTCCATGTGTTTTCAGAGAAGAAGCAGAACAACCTCCTGGATTATCAAGTAAGAAAAGTACATTCTTATGATGTGGCTTCTACTTGGGTTTCAGTGATTTTCACATGTGAAATTATCAGTCTTAATTTCTCAGTTGAGCTAGATGATAAAGGTACATTTCTTAAATTAAAACAAATGCATAAAGGGGATTACATACTATGAATTCAATTATTGATACACAAGAGTAAACATTTAGTTTATTTAATGGAAAAAAGACATGCATCAATAAAATTGTGTTTGAAGTAGATGCCAAAGTTGATTTGTTTTAAAAATAAAATTAAAACTACCCTCTATTGATAGGTCTCCCACTACCTCAGCAGCTATTATGTATAATAGCTGCCCTCTTCCTATGATACCTTGCCCCCTGCCCTGTGTGACGTCATGCCAAGATGGTTGCTCCCACCAAAGAACAAATCCTTCTTCCCAGCATGCCCCTGTTCCCGCCTAGAGAGTAACCTAATACTCGCTCACGTCCTACCATCTAGTGATGTCACTGGCTCCTCCATTCCCTAGTCACTACCCCACTCAACCCCGCCTCTGCCCCTACAAACCCCACCCCAGTCTCTATAAAAGACTCTCCCTGCCCCAGCCATATTGCTTTTGTCTCTCCTTCATTCAGAGACAGCCCAGCAGATCTATTCCCCTAATAAAGACTTGTTGTGGCCTGGTCTAGTCTTGGTCTTCAGCCTTTTACCTGACATTTCTGGTGCTCTGACTCGGATGGTAGATGGTCCATTAACAGACGATCCCCCACAGGATGGGGTTGATTGGCCTTTTTGGCCATCTCCATCAGACAGACCATATCTGCCGTTGCCAGGACCCTCTGGGTCTTTCTACCTTTGCCATTGCTGATGCTACAAATCCACACCGGTCAACAATGTCTGGCTGAGTAGGGAGTTCAGCCTCCCTCTCGTCGGGTTCTCTGTCTTGTTCTCTCTCCCTCCAGAGACTTCTCAGAAATCCAAGTGCTTGGTCAGAGAATCCTCCACTGCCACTGGGCCCAGGACCATGCCCCTGGGAGACGTCCCATCAGCCCCGCTCCTCTCATTCTCTCCCTCTGGGAGACTCACTTGGAGATTGTCAAAGGAGACAAGGACGCTTCTCCCCTTTGTCCTTCTCCCAGGGAGCTGCCTCTACCTCACCTGCTCTAACAAGGGGGCCCAACAATCCAAACCCCGCCCCTCAATGCCTCTGGGCTGCCTTCTGGCACAACTCAAGCCCCCCAACCACCTAGACTCCCTGAATTGGCAACAAAAGAGGATCTGGGAAAAATGAAATCAGAAATAATTTCTCAGATAACAGCAAAGATTGTCCCCATAGTGCAAGGCAAGATTAATAAATCTAGAGAGGACACAGATAAAAAATAGAGGATCAGAGGAACATAATGGAATCCTAACATAGGAAACAAATGGAATTCACAAAACAGATGCAAACAGATTTCTAGGAGATTAAAAACTCCATCAAAAGTCTGTGCAGCAGAATGAACCAATGTGAGGATAGAATTTCAGATATAGAAGATGAGATTGCATTAGTGGCCAGGAAAAGAAAAATT